ATGGAATGTATGTATGCTTCAAGACAACCCCTCAGTAGATCGACCAGAAAGAAGAACAGCCCTGGTCTTCAGAGAGCTCGCAAGATTTAACATCGATATTGCGGCCCTGTGTGAAACTCGCCTAGCCAACGAAGGTCAGCTCACAGAAACAGGAGGCGGTTACACATTCTTCTGGTGTGGATGTAGCAGTGATGAACGTCGTGAATCTGGAGTTGGCTTTGCGGTTAAGAATCATCTTGTCCCCATACTTGCCAGACTTCCCAAGGGTGTGAACGACCGACTCATGACACTGCATCTCCCACTACTGAGAGGAAAGCAAGCCGCACTGATTAGCGCCTACGCACCCACAATGGTGAATCCAGATGAAGTAAAGGAAAAGTTTTATGAAGAACTTGATGCCCTACTCTCATCCTTGAAGCACACCGACAGGCTGATTCTACTTGGCGATTTCAACACAAGAGTAGGATCCGATCACTCTGCCTGGGATGGCATCATTGGAAAAAAAGGAATCGGCAAATGTAATAGCAATGGCCTACTACTACTGAAGACATGTGCGGCTCATGATCTGATCATCACTAATACCATCTTCCGCCTTCCCACTCGCAAAAAGACGTCCTGGATGCACCCATGCTCCAAGCATTGGCATCTCATTGATTATGTCATTGTGCGGAGAAAAGACAGACAGGATGTAAGGGTGACCAAGGCCATGCCGAGTGCTGACTGTTGGACTGACCACAGACTCATCATCTCCAAATTTAGCCTTCACATCAAGCCTAAGAGACGTCCGCAGGGAAACAAAGCTGTGATGAAAAAGATCAATGTCAGTAAACTGAGGAAGCCCAACACAGCAGCTTCACTAGCAGAAGATCTTGACAACCAACTCTCAGAGCTGCTGGGAAGGACTGGGAATGCTTCCGGGATATTGTGCACTCTTCTGCACTACGGGTTCTTGGACCCTCACACAGGAAACAGCAGGACTGGTTTGATGAAAACAATGAAGAGATCAAGGCCTTACTTGCTGAAAAGCATCGCCTTCACCATGCTCATCAGAACGACCTGTTGTCAACAGCTAAGAAAAACATCTTCAACAACGCTCACAGGACTGTACAGAATAAGCTTCGCAAGATGCAGGACTCCTGGTTGAGTGCCAAAGCAGATGAAATCCAGAAGTTTGCTGATAGAAACGATGCCAAACAGTTCTACGAAGCCCTCAGATCCTTGTACGGACCTCAGCCTTCAGGGAGCTCCCCTCTACTGGACTCAGATGGTGCAACTCTCATTACTGAGAAGACTCTGATTCTACAGAGTTGGGCTGAGCACTTCCAATCTGTAATGAACCGCCCATCCTCCATCAATAACAAGGCGATTGACAGAATACCCCAGGTGGATATCAACCACAGCCTGGATGCCCCACCATCAAAGCCTGAAACCCTGTAGGCCATCAGCCAGCTGTCCAGAGGCAAGGCCCCAGGATCTGATGCGATCCCAGCAGAAGTCTATAAGGAAGGTGGTGCAGTGCTTGTCGACAAACTCACTCAGCTGTTCCAGTCCTTCTGGAATCAAGGATCCATTCCTCAGGAACTGAAAGATGCGTCCATCGTACATCTCTGCAAGAGGAAAGGAAATCGACAAGTCTGTGATAATCCTAGAGGAATATCACTGCTCTCCATCACAGGCAAGTTCCTTGCACGTATGTTGCTGAATCGCCTGACTGACCACCTGGAACAGGGTCTACTACCCGAGACACAGTGTGGCTTCCGCAAAGAAGGTGGCACTATGGACATGATCTTCTCAGCCCAACAGCTCCAAGAGAAGTGTCAAGAGCAGAATCGTGAACTGTACACCATCTTTGTGGACCTCACCAAGGCTTTTGACACTGTGAGTTGCGAAGGTCTGTGGTGCATCATGTCGAAGTTTGGGTGCCCTGACAGATTCATCCTGATGGTACATCAGTTCCACGATGGCATGACAGCTCATGTTTTGGACAATGGAGAAGCTTCATAGGCCTTTCCCGTCACAAATGGTGTCAAGCAAGGGTGCATGCTGGCACCAACCCTGTTCAGCATAATGTTTTCAGCCATGCTGACAGATGCCTTTCAGAACAACTCCTTGGGAGTCAGCCTGAAATACAGGATCGATGGGAAACCGTTCAACCTGCAAAGACTCCAGGCTGTCACCAAGATAAAGGAGACTGTGCTACGTGACCTCCTTTTTGCTGACGACTGTGCCCTGAATGCTGGATCAGAGCAGGAAATGCAAGCCAGCATGGACAAATTTGCAGTAGCATGAGACAACTTCGGCCTCCTCATCAACACAGAGAAAACCAAAGTGATGCATCAGCCAGCTCCGAAAGCCCAATACCAAGAGCCCAGCATCACAGTGAAGGGACAAAAGCTGCAAGCTGTGAACCAGTTTACATACCTTGGCAGCACTCTTTCCCATGCAGTGACAATTGACATTGAGGTCAACTGCAGAATCGCCAAGGTAAGCTCTGCATTCGGCAGACTGCAGACCAAAGTGTGGGACCGCTGTGGAATAAGCCTTGCTACAAAGCTTAAAGTCTACCGAGCAGTCGTGCTAAGTACCCTGATGTATGCCAGTGAGACTTGGACAGTATACAGGAGGCACGCTAGGCAACTAAACCACTTCCACACGACTTGCCTCCGCAGACTTTTGAGGATCCGGTGGCAGGACAAGGTGCCAGACACAGAGGTCCTCTCCAGAGCAGGCCTGCCATCAGTTCACACCCTGCTGATGAAAGCCCAGATACGCTGGGCAGGGCATCTTGCAAGGATGCCAGACCACCGCTTCCCCAAACAGCTCTTCTATGGTGAGCTGTCTCAAGGAAAGCGATTGCAAGGGGGACAAAAGAAGTGATACAAAGACATGCTGAAAGCCTCTCTCAAGTCTCTGGTTATCAACACCACCTCCTGGCAGACTCTGGCACAAGACCGACATGGCGCACGATGATCCACCAAGGCTGCCAAACTTCTGAAACCAGAAGGACAACCATAGCACAAGAGAAGCAAGCACTTCATAAAGCCAGAGTTGCAAACGTTGCAACAGTGGTGCCCACACATGTCTGCCTGACATATGGCAGAACACTCCGTGCCCGTATTGGCCTTATCAGCCACCTGCGGACACACCATGGACAACTCACAACCCATTAGATGTCAAGGTCCTCATCAAAAATGATGGACGAACATCATCATAATGCAGAATAATTTTCCCTTATATTTGGTTTTTGGGAACATGTTTTGTCAAGCCTTCCACCTCTCTCTGATCTGACTATTTATTGTGGGGGTTACCTTTGCCTTTCAAGTTATTTTCCTTTCATTGTCAGGTACCAGACATCTTCCTTTCCTCCACCACCAAATAGTAGTTTGCAGTTTGGGGTGAACAATCATTTGTTCATTACCCTGCTTTTTATTCTCTTCACCATTTGCAGCATCTCCCAATCTATTATCAAGCTGTTCTAATTAGAATGCAGATCCCATACTCAGAATTCATTAGAGAAGATAAGGTTGAACATAATTGTGGCCCTTGCAATGCCCTTAAAGGACTCCTTTCCCTCAGTTCTCTACACTATCATTAATCTGTACCCTTTGTTTATACTCAAACTCAAAAGTGTTTTCAGTCCATGTGGCACTTTGTTTTCAGCAGTGATAGGTATTCCGAGGTCGTTATCCTTCTACACTGGAGGTGGGAAACAAAAGCAAGAGCCTGCCCTTCAGACGCCATAGTCCTTATCTATGATTAGATGCTCTCCATCAGATGTCCTGGTGTTTGTGTTGGAATCTAATTATATTTTTGGAGGGCTCCTCCACTTTCCTTAGCTTTTGAAAGATTCAGTGGGCAACTTCTGCCTCTGTAAGTTTTCTTGTGAGGTAGGAGTACTGGAGGCTCCTAATGATGTAGGGATACCAATTAATTTACAAATATGCATGTTGAGCAAGAGGGGAAAGCACCACCAAAGACTGTATATTTGAAATGATTGCTTCCTTCCACATCCAGAAGGCAACACTCCCTAGGTCAGTTGCCACAACTAAGATCTACATTCTGATTCTCCTGCAGTTTATTTCCAGCCCTTGCCCAAGTGTATGGGATCTCTGAGTAGTTAATAGCCACCACCATCAATGCTCACTTAAGAGAGAATCTTCTTGCTCTCAGCACCTTTAGATCAGAATTGGGCAATCCAATCCGAGGCCCTCTTGGTGTTTTGCATACAATGCCAATCAGTTCTCATCATGAGCTACATTGCCTAGGGCAAGAACTAGCCCACCACTGGTCTAAATGAGCAGAAGGTGCTTACAGGAGCACAAGTATTCATGAATCTGAAAAAAGACAATAAAGTTCTAATTACAACATACTCCTTCTTTTCAGCATTAGCTTGCTAGCCTCCTCTTCTTTCTTGTCCTGTTTTCTTCCCAGACTGAAGGTTTTCCTGGTTTAGCTGGAATAGAAATTACCTTGTCCTTGAGTGACAGAAGACAAACTACTAAGCCATCAAATATATTAGCAAGGATTGGTGCTCTCAAAGGGTCAGCAAGAGATTCCAAAGCTAGATTGCTTGGCCTGCTAAGAATCTAGTGACTTTCCTTATTTTGTTTTGATGTATTAGAGGTTATGCATTTATATGATATTGCCATTTTTAAAAATCAGCTAAGTATATATACAATATTCAATTTATTCACAAAATATGAGTAGTAATAATAATAAGTAATATTTATTTTCCTTCTAGAGTGTTAGAGAATGATGAAAAAATACACAAATACAAATATTACTACAACATTCTTTGCATTCTAAATCTTTCAAGAAATTCAGCTTCAATTGTGCAAATAGAGCTGAAGTGCCAAGATATGGATGTCAAAAGGACCAAAACAAGAACTCTCTGAAGTTCTTTGCTGCCATCTTGTGTTTCTTGAACTAATTGCATTTTCTCTTGTTCAACTTCTAAAAAAGGAAAACTTGGTAATTTCAGTATTTTTTTAATGTTCTAGCTGAAACAAAGTGAAGCAAATGCAGATACCAAAGAAAAGCTTCCATTACGTCTGCGAATCTTTGAAAAATTCCCTAACAGACCTCAAATGGTAAAAATCTCCAAACTCCCATCGGATTTTACGGTCCCCAAAATAAGGTAGTAATCTTTCTCATCTCTCCTTATATGCTGGGCCAATGTGAAGAACATTTTAAGTTAGGTTCAAGTTTTTCTTCATATTTTTTACTCTAGTGTGTTCTTGTTTGTTTGTTTGGTGAGATCCTTTGCACCCCCTACAAAAACAACAATGATTCAATAAAATAAGTACTTACTACAAAATTCCAAATTTTCTAAGTACAATAACTGTATAAACTGCTGACAGACAGCTCCATTAAATTAAACTGGGACAACTCCCAATTAAGTAGGTTTTGGATTGCACCATCAGTTACAGAATTATCTGATGGTATAATCAGTTGACTTTCTAGTATTAAGAAAGCAAAACAGCTTGACCATCCTTGCTAGTGAATTCATTCATATATGGCAGTTTGAACATCAAGGCAGAGATGGAACAGATATGTGTGCATGGTTTTGCAACTGTTCCAACCTGGACTCATCTCAAAATACAAACAACACTTTCTGCATGATCACAAGGTTTAGAATAGGAGTAAGCAACATGGTGGCCATGGACACCAGCACACCTCTGGACACCTTTTGTAACTCATTTAGGTGATCTACTCTTCCCACTTGATAATAGTATTAACAACAAAAACAATTCTTACAAGCAACTGCAATGGACTGAAATAGGTCTGTTCTGGTGCTACGAACTGCAGGTTCAAAGAAGTTCTTCAGTATGTTCAGGCTCAGACCTTTGCTCTGACTTATACTCAATTCTCTTTGGCAGGATAGTTGTGCTTTGCCATGGTGCCCAGGACTGCTTCTCAAATCACCAGAGATGCCCACAGCCCATCTGGATTTAGGTTTCAATCACAGTAGATATTTGTCAGATTTTGAGGCTAGAAGTCTGTTCTCAACCCATATCTTGGTATATCACATGGAAGGATGTGTAGGTCAGTGACAGAGCATGTGCTTTGCCTGCAGAAGGCACCAGGTTCAATCCCTGGCATCCCCAGGTAGGGCTACAAATCGTCCTGTTGGAAAAGCTGCTGAAATAGTCCTGAAAAGCCACCGCCAATATGAGTTAGACCATTGGTTTGGTTTAGTGAACAGCACCCTGCTATGCTCCTGTGGTTGTATAATCATTCGCTCACACACCCTCATCTTCACTTTGATTGTATTATCTTCTGCCCTGCTCCCCTTTCATCTGCTGCAGTAATAATTATCTTCACAAAATGGCAAGTAGAAACAAGAGCCCCGTGCAGACTTTAGCAAACAGGATACAATTGGAGTGTTGTCTCCATCTTGACTAACAGTGTAATCCTCTACATAAAGAGTCAGAAGTAGGTCCCGCTGGGTTCCCTGGGACTTACAGGTGAGTTTGTATAGGACTGTATCCTTAGTCATGCATTAGTCAGTCATGACTAACTTCCTATTACGTAGATGTTAATGGGACTAAGGCATAGCTAACCTAGTCTATATCATGTGGAGAGCTCATGCCCATTGGTCTTTTCTCTTATGAACGGAGTCTGCAGTTAGATTCCAGTTTTGCTCAGGCTGGTACAACCTGGTACAACTTGGGAGGGCTGATCAGTTATCACTCAGCCTGCCCAAGCCCTCTTTGCATTGCATCAACAGAGTGACATATGGTTAGAGAAACATTAAATGTATTCACTTTGCATTAGCATTTGATTCTGCAATGGAACTCACTCTATAACAACGTAAAAGTAGTTCTAACAGAAAATAAAATTAAAAGCTAGTTTATGCAAGCACAGTCTGACAAAATACCTCAACATGTGAACCTGACATATTTTCACAAAATTTTCTCTTTTGAAATCCTGCTGATTGATCAAGATATATAGATATATTTGGAGAGAGCACATCTGGAATTCTATCAGTGTTTGTTTGTTGCTTTTAAATGGAAATTTATCACTTGAGATGTGGAGTCCAAATCTAATGGAAATTGTTTAAAGGGAAGCATAACTGAAGAAGGAAAGACATATTTTTCAATGAGTGGCGACATTGCCTTGGAGAGGCTTAGGACTGCGTGCTATGAGCCTAGACTCAACAGTGGAGAGGACAGCCTCCCCAGCCCCCATTCTCTCTCTCCCCCTCCCCCACCCCTTCCCCTTTCAATTCCTTCCCTTCAGAAAGGAAGAGATCATGATTGTCAGTGGTCTGAACTGATCACTTTCAGAGGGCTTTTGAAATTAGGCCAAGGACCACTGTGTCCTGCTCAACCCAACATGCATGTGATGATCAAATGCATGAATTATTTTGATGAATTATCAAAAAAAAAAAAGGATGGGAGAAGTATCACCAAAAACTAGGCAGAAGAGGACATAGATTTGCATATGTTAATAGGTATAGATGCAAAATTTAAAGATAATTATACTTCAGATAGAATTAGAGTAAACTGCAGGAAACTGAGAGTGCAGTCGGCTGCTCACGTGCTAACCAGAGATGGGCAAAGGTTTTTATGGTTCTTTTGAATGGAATTGGACAGACAGAAAAATTCCTTCAAATAGAGGACCATCTTCTGTAAAGGAAGACATGTGGCCATGCTTCCCCACCCTACTTGGGGTTGGAGTTGAGCTGCATGCACATATAATGTGAGGTGATTAAATCAAGAGCTGTTCCATATAATCGACCTTGCACAGTTTTGAGTTTTCAATTTTCCTTTTGTCCTAGCACTGAGAAATTGTGGCATGTTGTAGACAAAGACTATTAAGGTCGTTCTATTTATGAACAAAGAAAATATAAACAAGGCAAAGCAAATCAGCAGTTTTCCTCAATACCCTTTCTCGCTCTTCATTTTGTAATTTCAAGGGAAAGCTTTATGAAGCAGTTTATTGATCGACAGCAACAAGATACAACTTGTTTACTGAGAAGACTTCCATCAGCCTCTTCCTCATGTGACCACTCTAAACGGCTTGCAATTGAAGACAACAAATACATTGATCAGAAGGTAAGCAGCAATATATAGCAACAGATGAGGTTTCCAAGTTTGATAAGCACATTTATTTATCATTCAACAGGACAGACAGACAACACATGGGTCTCATAACTCTTCATCTAATCTGTACAGAAAGCCCTCCTTAAAATTAGGAAGGAGGTTTGTTGTTGTTGTTAGTCGCGAAGTTGTGCCCGGCCCATCGCGACCCCATGGACAACATTCCTCCAGGCCCTCCTGTCCTCCACCATCTCCCGGAGTCCACTCAAGCTCACACCAAATGCCTCAGTGACTCCATCTAGCCACCTCATCCTCTGCAGTCCCCTTCTTCTTTTGCCATCTATTGTTCCCAGCATTAGACTCTTCTCCAGGGAGTCCTTTCTTCTCATTAGGTGGCCGAAGTATTTGAGTTTCATCTTCAGTATCTGGCCTTCTAAAGAGCAGTCAGGGTTGATCTCCTCTAGGATTGACTAGTTTGAGTGCCTTGCAGTCCAACAGACTCACAGGACTCTCCTCCAGCACCACAATTCAAAGGCCTCAATCCTTTTGCGCTCAGCCTTCCTTATGGTCCAGCTTTCACAGCCATACATTTCAACTGGGAAAACCATAGCCTTGACTATACGCACTTTTGTTGGCAGGGTGGTGTCTCTGCTTTTTAGTATGCTGTCTAGATTTGCCATAGCTTTCCTCCCCAGGAGCAAGCGTCTTTAAATTTCTTGGCTGCAGTCCCCATCTGCGGTGATCTTGGAGCGCAGGAAAATAGAATCTGTCACTACCTCCATTTCTTCCCCATCTATTGGCCAGGAAGTGAGAGGACCAGATGCCATGATCTTAGTTTTCTTAATGTTGAGTTTCAAGCCAACTTTTGCTCTCTCCTCCTTCACCCGCATCAAGAGGCTCTTTAGTTCTTCACTTTCTGCCATGAGAGTGGTATCATCTGCATATCTGAGGTTGTTGATATTTCTCCCAGCAATCTTAATTCCAACTGGTGATTCATCTAGCCCCACCTTCCTCATGATGTGCTCTGCATATAAGTTAAATAGGCAGGGAGACAGTATACAGCCTTGCCAAACTCCTTTCTCAATTTTGAACCAATCAGTTGTTCCATGTCCAGTTCTCACTGTTGCTTCTTGACCCGCATATAGGTTTCTCAAGAGACAAATAAGATGGTCTGGTACTCCCATCTCTTTAAGAACTTGCCACAATTTGTTGTGATCCACACAATCAAAGGCTTTAGCATAGTCAATGAAGCAGAAGTGGATGTATTTCTGGAACTCCCTAGTTTTCTCCATGATCCAGCATATGTTGGCAATTTGATCTCTAGTTCCTCTCCCTCTTCAAAATCCTGCCTGTACTTCTGGTAGTTCTCGGTCCACATACTGCTGGAGCCTAGCTTGTAGGATTTTGAGCATCACTTTACTAGCATGTGAAATGAGTGCTATGGTGCGGTGGTTTGAACATTCTTTGGCATTGCCCTTCTTTGGAATTGGAATGTAAACTGACCTTTTCCAATCCTGTGGCCACTGTTGAGTTTTCCAAATTTGCTGGCACATTGAATGTAGCACTTTTACTGCAGCGTCTTTTAGGATTTTGAATAGCTCAGCAGGAATACTGTCGCCTCCACTAGCTTTGTTGTTGCTCAGACTTCCTAAGGCCCATTTGACTTCACAGGGAAGGAGGTTACCTACTGGACAATGATTAATGCTATAAATAGTTTGATTAACACTATAAATGGCAAGGCCCTATACATATTTTTAATAAACTTGTTTCTGAAAAAGCTTCATAGTCTCTCCAAATATTAGTAACTCTATAACAGCAATACACTCTAATGAAAAGATAGGTAGCATATTGTGTTCACTCATTCAAAGCCATTCAGAAGTTTGGTTGCCCATCCACAAATTTTGCACACCAAGATTCATCCCTCACTTAATATAATTTATAGAACCTGTAAGAGCAGGTAAAACACAAAACCAGAATGATGTATCTAGCCAGATACTGCCACAGTGATTTCATCCCTCAGCCATGGAGTGAATGCTTTGCAGTCATAAGGACCCAGGTTCAATATTCATCATCTCCTGGGAAAGAAATTTGATTTAGAAGAGAGGCACTTTTGTTTGAGGCCCTGAAAGCTGTTGGCAGACAGTATTGAGCTACACTGAGTAGCTTGGTTGAAGATAGCTTCATATATTCAGTGGGTATTTCACCCATTGGAATGGAACATGCATTTTTAAAAAATCTGATTCCAGCTTTCTGCAGTTATAATAACCATAGCAACATTCCATTTAAATGTACTCTATTTCCTTCAAATTATCTTGTCTCTAAGGCAAATTTGAAATAACAGCTTTAAAACATTAGGAATTGTCTTTGTCCACAATAGAACACAGAGCATGAGCTGTGGGAAATTAGACACAACATGGAAACTAACAGCAATGCAGGAGAGGTTCTGATGACAGCTTCTTCTGCATATGCTATCTGTATAGTTCATGCAGTATGAACCAGAGAACTTAGTATTTAAAAGATTAATTATCCTTTTTCAGTTAATGAAGTAAAGTTTCTGACTGTGGGCTGGTTCAGATAAATCTTGACTTGTCGCTTGCAAAGTACGTGCTTGGTTCCATACCTGGCAGCTGGAGCAGCTAAACAAACCAACAGATTCCCATCTGTGTTTTATTTATTATTTGGTCCCAAGTGACCTGTTGCTTTCCTAACAATCGAGAGTGCTCAGGCAGTGTGCATTAGTGCATTTGCTCATTCTGAAGAATTCTGACTATTCACCTGGTTCAGATGACCTGCCAGCCATGACAATGGTGGGTTCTCACATTAGCAAAACATGGCGCAGCTTCAACAGGCTGGTTTATTTTTCTCAAACACTCTACCCTAAGAGCCCATGGTTTATTCTTGGGCCCTCCAAGTCCATGGAGACGTGTGTCATCAGGCAAGGTGATTTCATTGTGGCTTGTTGAAAAGGTCTATGGGGTCACTTGCCAAGAGTGACCAAAAAATTCTTGCTCTTTGCAAATGATCTTGCTTCCTGAATACCACCTGGGAACAGACGGCACTCCTGTGGGCTCCCTCCTGCCTTGGCATTCTCTTTCCCACACTCAACATGATTTTGTTGCTTTATTTGTCATCATTTCCCCCTTTTGATAGCCTTATGAAACAGCTGCTTGTAAACTGCACAGAGACCTTGAAGGTTCTGTCAAATTTAGTTTTCCCTTCCTTAAGCCTTCTCTCCACCCACCTACATCAATGTTTCTGAAATGCTCCTGGAGAAGAAGGCTCTAGCTTTTTGACTGAAGTAATGTAGGCAGTACTTTGACCCCTATCTTCTACAACCCATTGAAGCATGCATTTTTTTTTTCATTTCATTTATGCCATGGACGTGTAATGAGATCAACACCCATCCCTTTTCATGAAGTCCTTTTGTTTGCTTATTCCTCCAAGTAAATAGAACCCAAATCTATAGAATGGAGGAGTTCAGAACACACATGGCAGTAGCTCAAGATGCTATACTAGGTACTGTTGGACCTCCTTTGCCTGGCATGGTGTGCATTTCACCACACCCTATGATGGATCCCATAAAGGAAGTAAACTCTGAGTCCTCAACCTCACTTCTCACTCACAATGTACACAGCCACTATTCTCTCCTTCAGCACAAGCCTTACAAGAGCAGGCTTTTGATGCGTATGGGGCCCCAACTGAGGGGGAAGGAGGCCAGCAGTGTCAGTGCAGATCTGTGTCCTGAAATGAGAAGGAACCTGGCTTGTTCGTAGATCTCTGAATAAGACCAGAGGTGCAGGAATATCCACAGAGCACCAGGAGCACTGCAAACAGTTGCCTGTGACTTGACTAGTTCATATTGTAATTTGACTCGTCCATTCACATGTAATGTAATAATGATGCAATATCTATGTATCTACCATATTACATAAATAGATATGCTTTCTGAATCCAGCCACATATAGTGCAGATTAAGAATAACTTTGTCCAAAGGCAGCTTGCATGGCTTGCCCATGCAGCTTCCCATCCAGGTAATACAATTTATTTATCTATTATATTTGCATCGCACCATTTTTCCTCTTGCAAAGAACTGAAGACAACCACATCCCCCCCCAACTCCTCTCCACTTATTCTCACAATAGCCTGTGAAATAGGTTAGGTTGAGGGTTGAGTGGGAGTAGAAGCCCAGTCTCCCAAGTGTTAGTCCAACAGATGCCACTACGCTCTCCTGGCTCTGCACGGCATGGCCATACTTTCTCGGCTTTGCACAATAGTATGGCATTATGTGCTTTACAGAATACTTTAGGCCCCTGGCATGGGCCACCCAGCAGCACAAGTATGCCCACTTTGATGTCAAGTATGTGTTGTGCAGCATACACTTCCATACGAAGAGCTGAATCAGCCATATGGAAACTGAGGAGATGTTCATTTCTTGTCCCCTGCTTCATCTTTTATTATTAAAATTCACTGTCTATATTGCCCTTTCTGGTGTGCAAAGTATGTGGAGGCCATTATTTCTCTCATCCTATACAATGTGGGCTTTTTCTTAGAGTTCCTTCTCAGTTAGAGTAAAACGGATATTAATTTAATCCAAACATCTAATAAAAATGTGAATGACAGTGAAAAATTAATTACCTGCATTATAAATGGCTGGGATCATGGGGTGAGATAGACTGAAACTCAAATCCAAATGCAATTTCTACAACATCTGTATTCAGATTGATGGCTGCTTAACTGAACTAGGCACACATTCTCAGTTTGGTCTGGTAGGTACCCATGTTGAAGCAGCGAATCTGGTGGCCAGCCAGGTCATATGCGTGGAATCAGGAAGAAGGACACCTTCTTTTGGTGTACCAGCCTGCCTCAGGGCTGATGATTTGATTAGTGGGGGAGGGGGAATCTTTAAAATCTTACCACTTTAGTTGTTTATTTATTTTAAATGAGCCTTTATCTTTGTAGAATTTGGAAAAAAATATGCGTGCTGACTAATGCATTGGCTGTATATGGACAGAGTTTTTGCTTGCTGAATTATACAATCTTTGCCTGAGTTTTTGGTTTACCTCTGGAAGTTTTTTTGTCCTGTAATCATCCCTCAAAACCACATAATTGCATGAATTTTGCTGCTCATATCTCTCTAGTCAGCTTTGCAGGTACATACACATGATTTCTCTAATTCAGCCTTTAAATACAGCCTTTAATACTGTAACTTTGTTTCATTCAAACTGCAGGAACATTTTTTACTCAAAAAGAGGGCCATTCTGTGTAACTGCTCCCCCCACCACACACACACACGAAGAATAGAAGACTAGTTTAAAATCTGCATTTTGATATTTATTATTTTTTACTTCCTTTTTTTGTGTTTTGTGGTTTTTGAGTGATGATTTTATCCAGAGTTACTTTTTCATTTCAGAATTTCTGACCTGGATATGCCTTTGTTCTTGCATTATAAACAGATTCATGCAGCATTCATACCTTCTAATGTCATGCAGAGGTGACTGGGAAATCTTAGTAACAGTAATATTCTGGGAGCCAAATTACATATTATGCTGAAAGACCATGACTGATCTCCTAATGGGTTTTTAAATACGGAAATGCAGCTGGAGGAGGCAGCTAATAAGCCTGAAGGGGTGGTGCTGTTGAAAGGGTGTTTGCCCCTTTTCACTTAGGCTGTTTTCTTGATCACACTCTCTGTGCCCAGACTGTGGTTTGTCCTGCAGCGAGAAAATTCTGGGTTCCTGTAATATCCCATGATGCATACAGCTGGCAGGGATGAGGAAGGAATGTCGATTGGGAAAACTGAGCAAATGAAAAGTCATTCAGATGTCAAGTTGGAATCATGACATGCACCTTTAAACAGCAGAAAGGGATCTATGTTCTGACATACCATATTCAGTAGACGTACGATCTATAAAGGGTCCATTCCTGTTATATGGCTGTCTTTGCGGCTGGCCCTCTACATTATCTGGTGGTGAGAGGAGTGCACAGTCATGTATACATCTCTAAATTGTTAAATTGTTTAAGCCTCATTGTCAGCATATCATGGATGTTATTTCCCAGCCCAGAACTCTCCAGCCTTCTTCCCCTCCAAAATGCAGCAGCTGGACAGGCAGAAAAGCACATTTAGCAAAAGAAAAAAAATGTAGGACAGGGCAGCTCCTCCCAGCCTGCAAAGAATGCTCATCAGCCCCCAGTTAGGAGAGTTCGCGGAAAGAATTCAGGGGACTCCATCCTAGGCCACTCAACACTGTCTGGGTAATTGATGGGTCCGCATGGGTAACCACAGTAGGCTATTTGGATCACATGAGTATCATTCTAGCACTTAGCTCCAGAGCCATCAGGCAGGCCTTCATGTGGAAGAGGGGGGTGCCTGTTCCAAGATCTAAAGATACCTGGTCCCCCATGGCAGGCCCTCTCAGTTCTCATCTGAATTTTTAACATTAACATGTTACTAGAGCTCTGGTCTGGCTTGCCAGAGAATGTGCAACTAGGTAAAGTTCTTTTTCCTTTTGTTTTGCAGCTTCGCAAATCTGTTTTTAGCATTCGGGCAAGAAATCTTCTGGAAAAGGAGACTGCAATCAATAAAATTCTTAGGTACTAATTCTGATTGAATGCTTCCTTTCATTTGATTTAACCCGAAGGTATTGTGCTTCTGCATCATTTTGCCCAATCTCTTACTGTCTGCACACAGTACAACTAAAAGCCTGACATTTTCTAAAAGCTTTGAAGCAGTTGAAAAACTTATAGTTGGAGATGGAAAGAAACTCTACTTTGTCTAATCTGGAATGGTCGAATTTTAAAGATGACTAAGAATAATGCAATGCTCACAAGAAAATCAACTGCATCATACTTAAGTAATAACTTCTAACTTTGAGAGACAGGAGACCAAGATCATTTATTTGTTGATGTAGATCCTAATCAGCACTGTACGCTCTTCTCTTTACCATGTTCCTGTGAGATTTTTCCTCTGCTTGGCATGAACGGTACATCCTGTGCAGAAGCACCATCTTCAGTTAGCATAACCAGTTAAATGTATTGGAACCACCTTCCTGAACAGTGTTTGGGAATATGCACCCATATACAGGCCTGCTATAATTAGAAATTCAGTTTTGGTACTCTGTTGATATTTCAAGCCACAGCTTTTGAAAATGTCCTTTGAAAGAGAATGACCTTTTCCGCTTGTCAGAATATTATCAGACAAAGCATAATATACTATTGAAAATATTTCACATACACACTTACAGCCAGATGGTTTCATTGTTTCAAACATCGAGGGATTTTATTCAGTTAATCCAGTGCATTTTTCAATATAAGACAGTGCCAACCTAGATGTGTCCACTTGGAAATAATTGATTTAAATTAACTCATTGTTTTAAATAGTGTGTACTTCCACAGGTAAGCAGGCACAGGACTACAACTTTAAGTTCTATAACATCAGCATTCTAAGACTAAATATATATTAAATCTAATTAGGAAGGAAAAACTCAAGTAAAAGTATTTCTGGACAGAAGATAATCCTTAGATAATTAAATGTATGGAAATTAATTTGATTTACCTTCGAAATATTTCATTTCTCTATACACAAAGTGAAATGGAGGAAAAACATTTTATTTTTATGATGACATCTAAGCCATCAATTAAAAAATAAGGAAATGGCAGCTTACATAGGAGGGGATAAAAAACAGTCTCTGTGGAGCTCTGCTTTCTCTGTTCAGCCATTGCGTACATTGGGAAGCTGGTGTTCTCTCTTGTAGCCACACTTCTCTTTGTATTACCTGACTGCTGCAGGAGAAACCTGTAGGCTGCAGGTGTGGGCTGGTGGAGGGGAAATGTGGGTGGGTGGCTGCATCCTTCCTCCTGTTCTGAGGGCTCAAATGGCCCAAAGGGATATGCACCCACAAAGCCATGAACTATGCCCACCGTTTCAAGAGCCATGCCTTAAATGGCTGGGTTGCCCATTCTCTTATTGCCTCCCCTAACACTACCAATTTCCCCAGGGCATGCACACGTCAGCGCATGTTGAGTGGATCCTTCGAGGGGCAGCCTGCAAAAGAAAGATCGATTCTTAGCGTCCAGCATCACATTCGCCAAGAACGCCGGTAAATACAGTATATCAAAAACATTTAAGAAGATTTTGCTATAGGTTTGAAAACTTTGTAGACTGCTTATCAAGCATCTATAAATTAGAACTGACTTGCATAAAGAACCAATCTATATATATATTTATGGCTACAGCAATAAAATTCTCTATGATGTACAAAGCAGAGGAAGGCTTCCATATTTCAAATGTAATTTGTTCCCATGGTACCCCATGTATCAGTTTAAAAGATCAGAAAAGAGTAGCTTATATAATATATTGTGCTGAACTTATGAGGTGAATTAGGAAAAATTCTCTATATATTGCCTCATTGTGCTAGTCATCGTGCAAATCTCAACACTTGATTTCACTTTCTTTCATTCACATGAATGTGATTTTTGCAGGTCGCTAAGGCATGGCTCCAACAGTCAACGAATCAGCAGAGGAAAGTCTCTTGAAACCTTGACTCAGGATGTAAGTCAATAACTATACTGAGTATAGTTACTCAGTATGGTCTGAGTAACAGATGAACGAAATAAAGGACTGGTGAATTTTACAATGTTCGAATATTCAAATTAACTCTGAAATGTGATAATAATTGTGATATCTCATTATAGAATTGGCTTTAATTCAGTGCATTAATTTGCAAACTGATGGAATTATCTCTGAAACATGAACATTAGCCTCAAATATGGAAAAATATACATAGGACCGGTTTAAGTGAACACTAAGATAGTGAGCAAATATATTAGTAATCAATAACTTAATATCCCAGTTACAAGAAAGGAAAACCTCTTTTCAGTGCAATCCTAGCTGTGTTGAATTCAATGGAACCAGGATGTGCAGAGGATTTCAACCTCTGTGAGATGTCTCAAAGGCTAAGGTGTTTGTCACAAGGAGTGTCCCTTTCATCACATTTCGCTTCCCATACTTACCATCAGGAGGAATAGACTTTATTCATCCATGTTGCAACAGAGGACCAGTCATGTTAGCTGCAGCAGCAGATCCCTCCTTCAAATCCAAGCTAAGGATCTGCAGGATAAGCCCAAGTAATACTGGCAGCTACAGAACCAAGGTGAATGCACACAGAGGGATATGCTCAGGGATCTGTAGAATTAGAAGGCATTCACGCAGACAAGGTAAGTAGTGGCAGAGCCAACAGGCAGATGCAGCAGCAGACATAGCCGCAGGATCAGAACCAATGCATCTGTAATGGTAAAAGCTGCACGTAAGTGGCTGGGGGTGGGGGTCAAGTTGTCTGGTGCAGAGTTTGCTGTGGTTGTGAAAGAGGCTTTGCTTGTCCTATTAATCTTGTTCTTGACTGCCTGCTGTTCCCTGCACTGGAAGTCTTCTTGGACCATTCTGAGCAGCCAGTCTTCTGATTCAGCACCTTAATCTTCCCCTTTCGCTTCCTGTGACCCTTTCTGCTCCTTCCAGGTTTTATTCCTCGCCTAGTACTCTTTCTGCCTACACTCCGTGATCCTCTTTGCCTCCCCGCCCCCTCCTGTGCTTCTGTCCCACCTTCTCCTCAGAGTCTTCGAGCCATTTGAAAACCTTTGTCTAGATTCCCACTCCTTCCTGTACAATCCTAATTCAGATGCCATGCTTTTTCAGCAAGCAAGCATTAATTGCACAGTCCAGATGTGTGGTTCTCATATCATTCCTCCTCAGTTTCTAGATATGCAGTCTGTTCTTGTAGTTCTTTATAGCTATTTCTCATGCACCTACAATGTCACCATAAATGGTTGTAGGCAAGTTCTCCAGGAAGGCCATCACAGTTGCCTCATGAATCCAATGCAGTGTCTTACATGCTCTCCCAAAGAGAAAAAAATGACCTAAGCTAATACTTTGCTAGGAACAGACTTCTTGCAAACATACTGTTCTTTGAGTTTTCTAAAGTAGCCTTCATTTTAAAAGAAAGAACTTTCTGATCTATTTTCATATAATTCATACTTATGAACAAAACATCTCTTATTTCATTTATTTTATTACAGTTCAGTACTGCCTAATAGCTATTTCAGAAGCGTTTACAATATTATTACAATCATAAGTCACAACATCATAACTTATGATACAATATCTGTAAAATACAACTTCATAACATAGTATAAAAATATTTGCATACAGATAAAGCAATTTTGCACAATCAATGATAAAATTCCCGGGACTCATTAAAAATCATATTGTACACTGTCAATGCCCAAGAGTAAAGTCTTGATCTAGCTCTGGAGAGATGACATTGCTGATGTCAAAAGATAACTTGGGAGAGTTTTTCATACTTGGGAAACGCCACTGAAAAGTTTTCTGCAATGGTATCTCAACCTGCCTTAGAAGAGGCATTTGGAGACATTTAGGAGCAAAGGACTGAATGAACAGTGTGTGATTTCATTTTTTTTTTTTTTTTGAGGTTACTGATGTGGTTCAGAAATGTAAGGAATGCTTAGAAGTTAAAGTTTTAATTTTTCCATGCACACACACACACCCCACATGATAATTTTCAATCTGAGTAGAACAAAGGACATTAATGAATTGTGCAAACTAGACAATGTTAAACACTTAAAATCTTACTGACATTTGTGGTCAATCAGATTATGTTAGCATAATCCCAAGACCCCTGTTGAACAGGGGTATCAGTGTGTTCAACTTTGGCTGGATCATGGCCTTAGCTATATCATGGTAAAGTAACCAAGTGGCAGTAACTGAATGTAATGACTAATCGAGTTATGAATTTTTCAAAACCTGTTTTCAAAGCCTTTTCTCTTATTACTTGTTTTCTAAAAAAAAATTCCATGCAATTACATATAGCAGCTTGTTTTGATGTGACTCTGAAAAGCAGATTTGATTTTCTAAACTTCTTGTTCTTTTTCCAGCACTCTAACACAGTGAGGTACAGAAATGCACAGAGAGAAGACAGTGAGATAAAAATGATACAGGAGAAGAAGGAACAAGCAGAAATGAAAAGGTATTTAGAATTTCAATTCATATGCCTTTCTTCCATTGAATACCTTTCTGTACCCCAGGAGAATAGTTGACTAGCTAATTAGTTTTAGTTGGTTGATCAATTAATGTATTGATTACATTTGCATAAAGCATTTATCAGTAAAAACAAAATTATGATCATGGTGTGCAAATCTGGAGACTCCAGAGACCACTTTCCACCAAGATGGCAGTTGGCAGCCAAATTCCAGGAAAGCGTCATTTGGCCTGTTTAGGCTACTGCCATCTTTCTGCGGCGGTGGCTGCTGCTACCACCACAACCGCAAATCCCGTAATGAGTGTGCAGGCCACACCTAAAGCCAGGGTGTAACACGTGGCCCACCCCTGTTTTAGGTGAAGCACACAGATGTCATAGCCAGCATCCTCTTGGAAGAGGTATCCCCTTTAGATGCAAGGAAGGAGGGATGACTCTTAAAATAAGTTTCCCATGTGCAGGTTTACAAGCAATCTATTTGTTTATTTTCAGAATTGATAGGTCATCTTTAAAAGTCAACCCTCCAAAGACAGGTCATAACATATTAAAAGGAAAAAAAAAGCAAATTAACGTCTATACTATCCATGAAAGCCCAAGCAGCAGTTAAATTCTGTGCCTAAATTCAACGCACCATTAGCAGAAGAGATTCCTTCCACTGTCTTTTCCCATTGTGCAGGCAGTTGCTCAAGCACTAGCAATTCCAAGAGCTGTACACAGTTGTATGTGGGGTTGCACGAGTGGAACTATAATTGGATTCTTCTTGTGCACATACTTTGGAGCTTGACTTCTGTTAGCACAACCTGCAACTCAAAGCATTAATATGCAAAGTAAAAGCAATGTGAGAGAGGGAGAGGGAGAGGGAGAAAGTAGATGTGGAAGCCTTCCCATCAGAGCATGTTAGGACGAAGAGAGAGGAGAATGACTTACCGAAAGCTATGATAACCGCAGAAAAGAGGGCTTCAAGAATGCACGATCAATGCTGTTTTCTATACCAGCAGCTCAATTCCTGTAATCTAAAGGCAGACTACACATGAATCTCTTTGACTGATATCTTTGCCAGTGATTAACTATCTTACAAGTCCCTATTTCATTCTTAAAGAAAAGTCCAGGAGGAGGAGTTGCGAGAGAATCACCCCTATTTTGACAAGCCTCTTTTCATAGTTGGTCGTGAACACAGATTCAGAAATTTCTGCCGAGTGGTTGTGCGAGCTCGCTTTAATGCGTAAGTATTTGTGTATTTATGTGTTTATTTCTGTGCTGCCCAATAGCCAAAGCTCTCTGTAGGACTGGCATAAAGGAGAAGAAAATCGAACAGGTCTATGAGTACTTTGTCACGGTGTGCTTGTTGCTTTGGCCCCATATATTCCTGAATTCAAAGCCTTGTGCCTCAAGTAATGGGGTTGACCTCCTTGTTCTTATCCCAGCCCTTTCCCGATGGTGACGTCTTTTGCCCTGTGCTGTACCACCTAAACAGTCACTGTGTAACAGGATCTCCAGTGATGCGGTGGAACCAGAGTTCGCAGGAATGCCACGCTGCCACGTTTTCATGAGCAAAGACACTGATCTCATCTGCCAGTCCCTTCATCATTCCCGTTTCCTCTGAGCTTAGCTGCAGTTCTCACAGTAACTGAAGGGAATTAATGTTCCAAGCAAGAGTATGTTGCATTACAAATATAAATTGTAGCCCAAAGTATTTTGGATGACTTGTTCCTGAATGGCCAACTAAGACCCAATAGCTTTACAAAACTCCTACTCTTGGGGAGAGAAAAGCTGCTATAACTGGTTGTTGATGAGGATCGAGGCAGTTGCTGAATTTTTGGACAATCCTTGGGGGTTGTGGCTATGGGGTCTGTCATTATGTACTTTCAGCTAATTCCTACACCAGTTAGCATCCCATTGTGAATTACCCCACTGCCATTTAATATAATAGTGGTTGCAAATGAAAGCAGGGAAAACTCATAACATGATGACACAGCAACACATGGGCGAGTGCCAAAAGTGCCAGCAAGAAGCTCACCGCACGGAAACATTGCAAGCATGCATACAGAACTACTAGAACAAATCTGCGATTAACTGTCAAACATTTTGTGTAGGATGACATAAATGATTTGTGGTTGAAGTATTCTTTAGTTAAAGAATAAAGTTCCACACACAAAGTAATACGTCTTCCAACTCAGTGTGCATTATCTCCAGCACAAATATCCCTCATTTAATGAAGTGGGCATGTCCTGAGCAGAGCTGGCTGGAGCCGGGGGTCAGACCAGATGGCCCGGGAGACCCCTTCTGACTTTTCTGTGTTTGAGTGTGTTGAGGACTGGGCTTCACGAATGGATGCACGGTAGAGCACTTAAAGACTTAGCATACTTCCTTGTATGCTACATTGCAATGTCCTTGAAGACTGTTTTCATGTGCCACATTATCCAAAAAAGGGCATATAGTAGTCGCAATATGAGTTCAGAGTTTGTGCTATAGCTTCTCAGTCATTAGACAGTATGCTAGATTTGTAAAGCTCTCGGTGGGTAGGAACTCTCTTTGTCTGTCTGTCTATCTATGCATGTGGAGAAGATACACTTGAATTATTTCTGGGAGAATGGTGGGCAAAAATGAGGTGACAGAATAATATTTATCATTTTTAAGAAACTATAACAATTAGAGGTACAAGTAGCATCCAGTGCTAGAAGGAGTGACCACTAATGTAGTGGGGAAATAGTGGTAGTTAGTGCACCCCAAGAAACTACTCTAGACCGTGACTTCTGGGATGAAACAGGTTGATGGAGCTTCTTTCACAACTTCCACTGACTTGTCTCATTTTGGAAATGAAAGCTTTGAGTAGTTTCTGGTTGTGCTAGCAAGCACTGTTTTCCCATTAAGTGAACAGTTCCAACATCCAAACAACCAGTCAGGTGGAATTATATCAGGAATTAGCCCGAGAATTGAAACAAGCGCTCACTCAGAAAGCAAGAATGCCTCAGCAACGGCACCAACCCAGCCTCGAAGCCCTGGTTTGATAGGGAATGTGTTCAAGCAAAGAAAGCCTTACAGAACACTTATCAAAAGTACAAACTCAGCTCTGATGTGAAGGTGGCTCAAGACCTCCTTGAACAGAAAAAATTCTGCAAACAGCTATTGATGTGAAAGAAAAAGAGGCTTGGAAGAAGAACTCTGTGAAATTAATTCAGGCAGCCAAATCCAAGGATTCATCCATGTTCTGGAGGTTGATAAAGATCTCACCAACTTGTGGACCAACAATGCCAGACTGTTACAACCACCCGAAGGTTTGGGAGGTGCATTTCCATGAACTATACAAAGAATTATGCTGCCACTGTGACCTGGAATACTGTGTTTGAAGCAGCTCTGCCTTGGCCCCCAGTCCTGATTTCATTAATTTATGAACTATTTGCCCAGATGAAAGTGGGCAAAGCCGGGGTTCAAGATGGCATCGGAACGAAACGGCTGTAACGGAGCTCCTGTTATCACGCCAAAATTGCTCGGCAGCGAGTCATGGGAGATTCATCTAAGCCCTGTCGGGGCGAAGACAGATTGCCTGGCACTCTTTCTTCTGGTTGGTGTGGGACAGCAATCCCATATCCACTGGGAGAAATTCAGGCATTTCTCAACTGGGCAACACAGGGGGGGTTTTTTAGCCCCTTCCAGTTCTCGACATCTGATGGATTAATTAGCTTATTTTAGCCAGATAAGCATCAGACGGCTGGTAAGCATTCTTATTTTTTATTTCTTTTCGCAATACTACCCATGGAAAAGCTGTATCTGTTTATAATTGGCTTAAAGAAAAAAGAGAAAGCCCTTCCAAAGTTTTTAAGCGGCAACTGATATGGAGAGAATCTGAAGGCTTTTATCTGAGTTGAAGCCGAAGAAAAAGATGTTTCTTCTAATCTCTCTAAGGGCGAAGAGCGAAATGATTAATTACTGTGGAATTAAATGATAGAAGATTAAAAGGCAGAGCAATCATTTTGGATACCTGTTTGGACTTCTGCCAAGATTAACTGGACACTTGCCAGGATAATTTCTGTGTTACGTGGTGTTTTCCTCTCTACTCTGATGACTTTCTGGTGAGCAATTTACTTTCTTTTTGCAATATTACCTGTGGAAAAACTGTATCTGTTGTTAATTGGAATAAAGAAGAAGGAAAAGCCCCTTTGAAATCCCCCCCATGGTGTTTTGTGTCTTAAGTAGCAAATGATATGAAGAGAGGATTAACGTTGGAGTGAAAGTCTAAAGTAGAAACTGAAAGCTGAAATTGAAAGATTTAACAATAACTACTGGGGAAGGATATAATTTGCTGGTGGCAATTTTTGGCCAGCTTCCATTTTTTCTGAGACTCCTGCCAAAAAGAAGCTGGGTACTGACATTTTTTTCTTTTTTCTTTAAATAGCCTTTCGCTGTCACCTGGTGGCTATTGGAATTATTGCAAGCTACTTTTCATTTTTTTCTTTTTTTTTTCTTTTCTCTTTTTAATATTTTATTCAATTTATATTTTTTTTTCCTTTCTTTTTTTTTTTTTTTTTTTCCCTTTCTACTTTTTTTTTTTTTTTTTTGCTGTTGTATTGAAATTTCTTTGGTGAACAACTTTCATCATGAGGAAAACTCAGCCCTCCTCAGCTGGTCAGAGTCCAATTCATCAGCCTAAGACAGAAGATGTTGCAAAAAGCTTAAAGGAGTTGCAAATGATGACCTTGGTGATACAGGCGGCTTTAACAACTTTGCAAGCATCTCAAGAGGTGATGTCAACACGGCTGGAAAGCTTACCAAATGAATAAAAAGAGCAACTTGACAAATTGGATAACTTAAAGAGGTGACAACTCAATTATCTGATGTTCGACTTAAAGCGGAACAGAATACACAAAAAATGCAACAAGTATGTGAAAAATTGGAGACAGTAGATAAAGAGATACATTTAATTAAGCAAACAAATAAGTCAACATGGGACTCAACGGCTGCATTAGAGATGGAGAAGGCATCTTACTATTTAAGATTTCAGAATATACCTGAAGAGAAAAATGAGGATCTGTGAGAGCTTATAACTGACATGTTGGCGGCGCTTTTAGAAATCGAGAATGAGGTCATGGGTATGGGAATTGACCTTGTTTTTAGGGTCAATTCCTCTTACACCAGAAAAAATAAACTTCCAAGAGAAGTTCATGTCAAATTTGCTCTAAGGTCTATAAGAGACAATGTTTTGAAGGCTGTACGGGAGAAGCCATTAAAGAGAGATGATCGTCAGGAGGTGACGTTCCTGAAACAGATACCATGGAGGATTAGAGAAGAACGAAAGAAATATCTATTCCTTACTACAAAATTGATCAAGAAAGAGATTATCTTTAAGTGGCTAATACCAGAAGGAATATTTTTCACATGGAACTCTGTAAGATATAAATTGGATTCAGTTCTTAAAGCACAAGAGTTCTATGAAAAATTTAGAGCCATGCTGGAAGAGGAGGACCCTGTTGTCTCTAAAGAAGGAGAAAAAGGTGCCAAAGCAATGGAAACAACAGCGTACCATTCTGAAGAAGGAGAAATACTGAAGGTTGATTCACAACAAGAAGTACAGACTTTGGACTCAAAGGAGAAAAAAAAGGTAGAACTGTAAAGGCAAAGAATAAGTAGATAATTGTATTAAATATGGCTCTTAAAAAGGAAGGGAAAATTGAATTGTTCTCCTTAAATGTTAATGGACTAAATGGACCATCTAAGAGAAGAAGGATTTTTGCTCAACTTCAAAAACGAAAGTTAGACATAATTTGTCTACAAGAAACATATAATAAGAAACAATGTGTTAAACTTCTAGAATTGTTCGTATCTTCTGCATCACAAAAGAAAAGAGGTTTAGCACTATATGTTAAAGAAAAATTGGACCCTAAATATATTCTTTCTGATTAGAATGGTAGGATCTTGATGGTAGAAATTGCAATTAAACTTAAAAAGGTGCTCTTAGTGGCAATATATGCACCAAATGACCATCAGGAAACTTTTTACCAAAAACTACATACGTTACTCTTACAAGCGGACTATCAGACTATGTGTGTAACAGGTGATTTTAATGCAATTGTGATAAGGAAATCGATCACAAGAGTAAAAGTAAGGGAAAAAGGGGCAGGAGGATGCTTCCAAAGTCTTGTTCCAATATGATTGAAGAACTCAGATTGATACATGCCTGGAGGCATAAAAACCCTACTTCTGCCAATTATTCTTTTTATTCAAACA